GGAAGCTTTTAATAGGTGCATCAGGAAACGGTTTCATTTGACACCTCGGTTTCCGCAATTACGACGACTGACTTTTAAGCTTTACGTATATATGCAACTGGAATAAAACAGTAGATAGCTTTTAAAGACTGAATTGTTTTTTGAAATATCCTCAACGAAGACGAATGCATTTTTGCATACGTTCGAACCAGTTCTGGAAGTAGTTATTCCACTCGCAAACAAAATGACGTTATTGAGGGCGTCGACTGCTTCTTCTGCCGACTGGAATTTTTGACCACGAAACGTATTCTTGATTTTCAGAAAGGTAAATAAACCGTTACGACTTAGGTCAGGACTGTACGGAGAATGGCCTCATAATTCAACGTTTTGTTTTGCTAAAAGTTCAAATGTCTTGATTCGTTATTTGAGGTTAGTTTTTGAAGCTCAGCGATACGAATAAAGGACTAAAGCTTCAAAATATACTTAGAACGAGTACAAAAACCATGGAAAAGAAGGTGCAAGCTAATAGATATCCCGCTGGAAGACAAAAATCTGTTTACTTTTTGTATCGCAGATGAAAGTTCATTCTCGAAACTGGACAACCTAGGTATACGACACTGTGAAGAATGAAAGTATCTGGGTTTAGAAATCACTCAAAATGGAACTTTAGACAAAGAAATAGAAGAAAAAGGTACGTAGGGTAGGAAAGCATCGTAGTATACTGTGAGATCTAACTGTCTCTAAGAAGAACCAGCACAGAATTAATAATAACATCATCAAGTATTATAATGACATACAGTAGTGGAGTTTGTACTCTAAAAGACAGGTCGGAATGAATGCTTAGAGTGATAGAAATAGATTTTTGGAAAAGAGCCACTGGAAGATTTAGACCAGAAGAGATTCCAAATGAACGAATTAGAGAAAACATAGAGGTCCCTCATAATGTAATAGAAAACAAAAGAAGAAAACAACTTAGATGGTATGGCCACGTACGCAGAACAGGAATCCAGTGGTTACCAGAACAAGTTTTATGATGGACACCGACCGGCAGAAATGAAAAACTAAAACCCAGGAACAGCTGATTAATGAGGAGGCGAGAGAGACTACTGGAAGAAGAAAAATGGAATGGCCGGCAACAATGGAAATTGGAAATCGGAAAACGTCGTAGAATGTTATAGACCGATTTATTAATATATTGTATATACGAGGGTGGATTGATAAGTTTCCGGCCTGACCAAGAAAAACAAGGTTTTTAAAAATTTTTTTTTTTTATNTATGTGGAATATTTTTGTTCCTTGCTCCGAGCGAAAAAAAGCCGATTGTGTTCTTGGGTTTATAATGCAACATACCTATGTGTAGGTATTTACTTATTAAAAACCCAATAAATACTTACCTACAGGTGCTTCATGTCAGAGTGTAAATTGGAATTACCTGAAAAGAATAAAAATATAAGTTAAAAAATTTTATGAAATTTCATAAATATATGCCTAAAGGTTGTTACAGAATAATAAGTTGAATCTTCTTATTGCAATTAATCAAATACAATTTCTCTTTATTTCTGAGTAGTTCGTTTTTCATGTAAAATGTTGGTATGACCTGTTATGTTTGCACAATTAAATATACGGATGAACGAATCATCAATGTTTTGTTATTCTGTTCTTCCTGGATTCTTCTATAACCTAACCCGGTTGTGAAATCAGCAACAACCAAAACTAAAAATTTTATTAAAATTCGTTTGTTTACACAAATACTTAATTGAGTCAATATTTTATTATCCTGTTCTTCATGGATTCTTCTTTAATCTAATCCTATTGCAAATCAGTCTCATGCTGTTGATGATACCGACATCATCATCATCATCATCATCATCATAAGGTCGTCAGTCCTAAGACTGGTTGGACACGTTCCTCCACTCTTTCCTATCCTGAGGTAATCTTTGCATTTCTCTAAAACTGGAACATCCCATATCCTTATCTATTTTTGAATAGTCATCTAATCCAGGTCTACTTCTACTCATTTTAACTCCTATTTCTGCTTCGAATATCCTTCTAACTAACCCTTCATGCCTGAGAAGGTGTCCTACCAACCTATCCCGCTTTTTTCTTATTGACTTCCATAGAGTCCTCTTTTCCCTCTGTGTCGACAACCAAAAATCAAAATTCTATTAAAATTAATTTGTTTACACAGAAAATTAATTCGGTCAATGTTATATTATCCTGTTCTTCCTGGATTTTCCTTTAACCTAATCTTGTTGTGAATCAACGTCATCCTGTTGATAATACCAACAACCAAAAATGAAAATTTTATTAAAATTCGTTTATTTACATAGCTACTCAATTAAATTTTTCTTCTACCTCGAAGGTTTTAAAAACCTTGAACCTATAAATGCTAATCGGAGGATAAAATCGGCTAATGAAGTAACTACGAACTGATCATTTCAGTTTGTGCTTTGCATGGATTAGTCGGTAATCAATTTGAAATTCAATTGGTGATTTACTGATAAATCTATCTATTGATTTCATAAACATTAGCATCTGATGTATATGGGTATTTCATTTATAGTCGTGTTGTCTTTCAGTCAGTGTTAGCTTTTAACTATCTAATTATTTATTATTTTGTTTATAATTGTGCTGTTTTAACTCATTGTTTATTTACACAACGTAACTAGCACCGAACTATTTGGAACCTGTACTTATCTTATATTAACTAAAGAATCTACACCTTGATACAACCACACAAATAGAAGCGAAACGTCGGTATTAGTTCTTCACACAAATAAAAAATCTATCAACCCTTGAGAGCCTAGATTCTTTAGTTAACTTTATCTAAAATAAGGGGAAGAAATGGATAAAAAATCTTACTATTAATTTATGTTATTACTTTTAATAAAGGTCTAGATGATGGCGGGATCGAAAGAGGAGGTCTCCCCCACCACTGTACCATAAAAAGTTCGTGGCGGTCTCACCCCCATAAAAAGTTATGGGGATTCAAAGTTAATAAATATGCCAATTTTTATACATTTCTAGGCATGTAAATATTTATATAGTCATTCTTAAACAATATTCAAAGGTAAAACTAATGAAAAATACATAAAAATATTGAGAAAGTTATATAAAACATTATTTAAATATCTTTATCAATAGGGTAGGTTAGGTTAGGTTATCGGGTTTTGTTCAAGTGACCACCCTCTTTCGATCCCCCACCTCCACCCGCTTGAAAATATTTTTTTTATTGAATTTTATTTGAATTATAGTGTATGAAAATTGTCAAAATAATCAACTTTCAACCCCCATAACTTTTTATGGGGGTGAGACCGCCGCAAATTTTTTATGGGGTTTTACTCAGGTGACCACCCTCTTTCGATCCCCCCTACCCTCACCCCCATCTAACCCCCATAACTTTTTATGGGGGTGAGACCGCCACGAACTTTTTATGGTACAGTGGTGGGGGAGACCTCCTCTTTCGATCCCACCCACCCCCACCCCCCTCGGGGGTTAGACATCATGTAGACAATTACCTTACTTTTTAATATAATTTGAGATTTTTCCTGGTATTCACCCTCTTAACCACAAACCATAAGGAATAGAACAATAAATAGTCATTACTAAACACACAGTAAAGAAGTACTTTCATTATCTAACCGGCAATAAGTTTAATTGAAATAGCTCTAGTAGTTTTTCCTTTTATTTAGGTAACATAAACTTTATCGTCCTTTTTAATTGAATTGACGTCAGTCTGATGGTTATTTCTGAGTTAAAACTATTAATAGATAATGGTACGCTATCATATAACTCGATCCGCAAAAGTTTCGGACATACTTTGAAAAGATCTGATTAAATTTATAAAGTCGATGGAAAACTTACGTATTTCATTTTTAAAATACAACCAAGTTGCAGCTACAAAAGCTTTTGATTATAAGTTCTGAGCTTAAACCAAGCGGTGGACCTTGTTGGAACCTTCTTTGTAGTTACCAAAAATAAATTATCTAAACATTAACTTTAATTCTTAATCAACAAACAACGCTAACTAGATAGTGAACTTACAGTTTAATTAAACTCTAAATAAAGCAGGAGCCTACTTTTCGAATAAGGCGAAGTTAGCACCGCGAAATCATTTATAATTAAGGTGTGAAGTGTTGAAAAATTACCTCATTCGAATATAAAATTGCCCTAGTGGTATCTTTTAGCTTTAATAAGTTATTAATTGTTTTAGAACATTGACCAAGATATCATTAAAACAAGAAAATAAGATTTAATATGCAGCATCTAAGTTTGAATCTCTTTTTCGATTTATTTATTTCATTAAAAAAGAATATTAAAATCTTTATCAATTTTCAAATTAATCAGTCGGTACATCCTTTTTTATATGGTTATGCATGCACCCCATGGAAGTTAGGTTGTTGTTAGTTTCGGTTGTCTAATTTAGAAGTACCAGGAAAACATATTATTATTATCATCATCATTATCATCATAAGGTCGTCAGTCCTAAAACTATTTGGACACGCACCTCCACTCTTTCCTATCCTGAGCTAATCTTCACATTTCCGTGAAATTTCTTGTCTTTGACTTGCCCTTCATGCCTGCGAAAGTGTCCTAGCAACCTATCTCGCCTATTTATTATTGACTTCCATAGAGCCCTCTGTTCTCCTATTCTTTCTAATACCTCTTCATTTTTAACCTTCTGTCTCCACGGTATCCTCATCATTCGCATGTAACACCACATTTCGAACGCTTTTAATCTTTTCTTTTCCGCCGCGCCCGTCCATTTTTCGCACCCGTACAGCGCCGCGCTTCATATTACCAATCTTAGGAAAAAATAGAATAAATCAAACGCTAACTTCTCCTTCCTAATGTTTTAGAGTTAGATCTAGACTAGATTACTGTTCACTAATAGTTAAGGAGATCGGAGATACGTGTCCAACCAAACTTAAGACTGACGATCTTATGATGATGATGATGATGATGAATATGCATGTAAAAATTTCACCTTTCAAAGATCTAATTGTTTGAATTATTTTGCAGAAGATGGGCACAAAATTGGCCTCATCCAGATTAGTCCTTTTCCGGGAAATTCGGTAAGTTCTTTCTAAATTTCTTGCCATTTTCAGTTAAATAGACTGTACTTAGTTTATTTGTGTACTGGTATCGACATACAGACAAATCGTGTGCATAATTTTGAGTTAATGTTCACAATATGTACGTATTTAGCACCAATGTGTCTGCTATTACTTTCCTTGACAATGCACAATACCGACCGACCGTGAGCTAATTAGCATGCACAAAGAAAAGTCGAATGATATGTGGTGTGTGAATAGAAATGAAGCGACGAATTTTTGCTTTATTTGGCTATCACAGTTCGCGACTAGTCATAATAGAAACACAAGTCCGTGTGCCTTCAAACACTTCCTGCAAAACACAATTAACCGGCCGCTTGTGCAAAAACAAAAGAATAATTTCAAAACAACTACGAAATACTGAGATATCTGCATTACAGTTTAATACAGTTGTCGTTTAATTACAGTAAAAAAATATACTTAATTTACTTTCTCTAGTGAATTGCTCCTTCCAATGTCTTGTATGAGTGCTGGCAAAATCGTAGGTAGGGAGAAAAAAGCTCATTATACTCTCGACTATTGTTCATTAAACATACTTTTTCATACAGTACCTGCCAAAAGTTTTGTTCAATCATGAATAGTAGTACGAGTCGAAAACAAGCGTTAAAGAGTTTAATATGTCTTCACATATAAATAAACATTTTGTTGATATTTTCAGTAGTAAATGGTACCAATAACAACACATTTGAGCAATGCAATTTTAGTGGATAAAATGGTCAATTTGTCCGTGCAATACTGTACGAATCATACGCTCCTCACCGGTTAAGAGTTTGGCCGAGAGTTGTCTCCTTCCTTTTCTGGCCTAGTGCTGTTCTTTTCTACTTTGCGCCGGTCAAACTGAAGATCACATCGCTACAGAAAGTAAACGAAAAGTATACTTATCGTGAGTCAAATTTATTATATTAGAAGATACACTCGTATGAAGTCGAGTGTAAACATGTTAACCTTAAGCCCTATGAGGACTCTTTTCAAGGCAGAATGTCTAAAATAGGATTTTTGATACAGCGCACATGACCAAAGTAAAATATGCTATGAATAAATAGTAGAGGTAGTTTTAAATCTCGTGGGCCACCGTCTTGTATTGTGCAATGACCAATATCCGCCTGTCATTGATTTCTACATCTCACTAAAAATGTTGACCGTCTGACCGTCATCTTCCACAGTTAACAGTCGAGTCAATGTTTTTAAATTGTACAACATGAATGCAAAAAGGTCTGCTCTTCGCATTTTGAAATACATCTATATACAGATAGCTATCATCATGATCACAAGGTCGTCAACACAAAGATTGGTTGGATATGGCCATTCACTCATTCCAATCCTGAGCTAATCTTCGCTTTGCCTAAAACTGGAACATAACTCACTAGTCCTCTTAACTCTTGCCTCTGCTTCTAATGTCTTTAGCTAGCCCTGCATGCCTTAGAAGGTGTCCTACCAACTTATCTCGCCTATTTCTTGTAGGACTTCCACGGCGCGTTCTGGTCTCCCGCTATTTCTAAAACCTCTTCGTTTCTAACCTTCTCCATCCACGGTAACCTCACCATTCTTATGTAACATCATATTTCGAACTCATATAGAGCCGAAACTTCAAACACACTTCTTAAATAATCGAATTTCCAATTAACCAATTTCTAACAAAAAAGTGTTTTTTTAAGCGACCGGACGGCTCAATTCTTTGTTTTATATCTCTAGTGTTATTTCCATCCTAAGTTATCTAACTTCCTAATGATTATTGAAAATCAGCAGCTTTTTCTCGTTTATCATATCATATTTCAATATCATTTCTAAGTCTACATTCGCATCCCTTACATACCAACAATTTTGTTCTGTTTTTATTAATTTTCATACTATACTCTTCTATCAATACCATAAATACCATAAAGAAAATGAAGCTTTCGCGTATCTCATTCCTATTAGTTGTGACAGTCTGTCCGATGATAGATTGGAAGATCTTCTTCAGGCTCTATTTAAAAATTGTGGGAATGGGTGGGTGATAGTCGAGGTCCAGAAAAAAGGACAATAAGGGTGGTGCTCATATCTTAAACATACCTTGTTATTGACAGAAAAGTATTTTTTAAATAATTTATTTGAGTAATTGACTTTCAAAATATTTTTGGTAGTACAGTTCTTGGTTTTCTGTGGTCCGGGGGGCCTATTGCCTACTCTAAACCGCTAGATCCAGTTGATTCAGTAGTAAATTACTAGTGTGTTTTTTAACTAAAGGATTTAAATGGATTTTGCGTCAAACGGACTTCTTATGTTACCCTGGATAATGTACCTATTAATTAGTTTAAGAAATAACTAATAACCTCGATATTTCAACTATTTCAGTAATATAAAAGTCATACTTTTCCAACGAGTTCAAATTCAATTTATGAAAAAAAAAAATGCAATTATCAAACCAAACCCAAATTAAATGTGCAATTTTAGATTCGGAAAATGTGCTAACTTGTCTGAAATATATGAACAGCGAAATTCAGTTACGACCCAGTTAATCATTGCTCACTAGATGGAAATTGCCTAGTAGATTCTTAGTGCCTTCATAATTAAAGGATTTAATTGGTTTTTGCGTCCAACCATCATCGAGCTAGGCGCACTCGGATCAGACATAGCATCCAGTAGCAAAGCAATTTACGTCGAAAATTGCCTTCGTCGAATAAGCAAAGGAATTACTCACAATAAATGCTCTGCACACATCTTTTCATGAAGTTTTCGAAAGCTTAATTATTCAGCATCCTATGCATTGTTTTCCTAATCATCATTTATAATTACATTTGCACAGTGCATGCATAATTTTCGGTGTTTATAATGTAAAGTCTTTATCTTCCATCAAAAACGATTTTTTATGATTAAATTACAAACTTGCTAATACAGAAAACTGAAAGAATTTTGATTGTGTTCCAGAACACTCTAAATAGGCCAAACTCTAATAATGTCATCAGTAATCTTGTTACTGAAATATATTTCGGATTATTAATATATTAAGCTTTATTGAAACAACGGATGGTTAATTTAGATATTTAGAAATTCGGAAAAGATTGTTATAAATGTGTAAGTCTAGAGCACGGCGCGTACTAACGCGAAACGTGGACGATGGACTCAGCGAAAAAGAAAAACGTAGAAGCGTTTGAAATGTGATGTTACATACGACTGATGAGGATACCGTGAATAGAGAAGATTATAAATGAAAAGGTATTAGAAAGAATATGAAAACAGAGGACTCTATGGAAGTCAATAAGAAATATTCGAGATAGGTTAGTAGGATACCTTCTCAGACATGAAGGTCTACCTACAGTATCCTCATAATAACATCACAATGCGAATTCTTCTAACCTTTTTCTTTGCGTCGCGTCCACCGTCCAGGTTTCGCACCCGTACAGCGCTCCAAACATACAACTTTAACAATCTTTTTCGAATTTCTAAATTAATCGTTCGCGAGCATACAAGTGAATTCTTTTTACTGAAGGCGACTCGACCCTGCGGTATCCTCTACTTTATATCCCTACTACTCCTTCTGTCCTGACTTATCTGATTATCTGACTTCCTAGATACCTTAAATCAGTCACTTCTTCTAATATTCCATCTCCTATCTTTATATTCGCTCTTTCCCTTCTTTTTTCCTTGTATACCAGTATTTTTGTTTTATTTTTATTTATTTTCATACAATACTGTTTTGTCAATACCGCTTCCATTTTGTTTAAAGCTATCTCTAACTCCTCCTTGCTTGGATTGAATCCACTGGTAGGTTTTTCGTATTGAAAATACGAAAAATTAACCATTTATCGTTTCACGTTCAAGAATTAGATATCGCATCGTTTATCTTTATTCTTTCTCTTCGTAAATACGGAGATGTTTTCGAGAATTAGCTTGCCCTTCAAGTTAAAAGGCAATAACAAGGAAATATAGAAGTAATTTAGACTGTTTGCCCAAAACTTTATATATCATATTCTGCAAACTTTCAGAGAATTTATTTACCAGTACTATTGTCAATATTAACTAATATGAGTAATAGATTGATGCCTATAAAGTTTTATCAGAATCGGTTCATTTTAAGAGCAATATTTTTTTGAGTTGGCAATAACACAAATAAAAAAATATTGGCATTTTACCATTATAGAGGACATATTAGTTAGTGCCAAATGTGTTTAAATGTTGTAAATTCGTATTGTGCAAACTTCCGTTAATAACGACACCCGGTTATTACGTCAAGATATCAACGTTATAACCAAGTTCTACTGTACTTATGTTTTTACGCCACACATGACAGCGTGTTAAAATGTGTTTGACGAATGCTGATGCAGAACATTATACGAAACCGTAGAAATGGAACAAAGCTCCGAGGCATGCACTTTAATTATTGGAATGTCATAATCTGTTAAGAATCTTTTCACATAAACGGTGCACACACATCTACTATTGTGAACAATATTCTAAGAAGTGCAAGAAGCAAGGGAAAATACATTCACACCCGAGAGGTTATGAAAATTGCATTTTCAATTGTACGGATGAAACCGCAAATGCTTCGACAGGTTTAGTCAGTGTGTAATACTGAGATGGTTTTAATCTAGACAAGAACAAATTGTTGAGCTATTGATAACATTTTTTCGTACTGTATAATAGAAGACGCTTTTATTTTGAATAAAATATAATATGTTCTTTCAACCCATTCGTATAAACGTACTATTTTGGCCAATGTAGATTGACAGGTGATTGCTGCATTTGGTTTGATAGATGTCGCTTCTACGTAACCAGCGTTTTTTATAGCGGGTTTTATGTTATTATTTAGTAGTAAAAATGATTCAACGTTTTGTTTTTTTTTTTGGAATTACAGTGGATTTCGGATTTCTAGAGATTTGTTACAAATGATTTATTAAAAACAGTCGCTACANTTTTTTTTAACAATAAGTATGCATGTAGGAGTTATACTATACTATTCAAAAGTTTACTAAACCCAGTTACTATTCAGAATAACCACTTTGTAACTGAACCATTTTAACGTACACGCTTACCTATCTACCTGGCTAATATTTATAAACAAACGGTAAAGGTCACCACTCTTGCTGACCATCAGTATGGATGTAAATAAAACATAAGAAAGTTCTTTGTGTCTTTGGTGGCCGACTCCGGTCGCTGTATCTTCATGGGATTTATAGAGATTTGTTACAAATGCTGTATTAAAAACGGTCGCTACACCGGAACTCGGCGTTATATCCGAAATCGCTATTGCCACATGAATTTTCTAATAAAGTATGACTTAAATTCAAGGGACTTAGATTTAATCTCGCTATAGCAAAATGGTCGCTATAACCAAGGTCGTTATAAATGAAATTCACTGTATTTTGTTACTAATCTTTACGAAATTGTTTTTTGATTGGACGGATTTAGTTTTTACTCAGAAACATAGCACTGAAGAAATCAGTTTCTATTAGAAATACAATTTATTTCATGAATGTTTCATTTTGGAATCATCTCCCAAATTCCCTATTCATGTATCTGCTCAGAAATTGGAATAGCTTTTCTGTGACTATCATGAGAACCGTAGTTGTTAACTTTCCATCAAGAAATATTTCCTCTTTTGTTTTTCGGTTCTATACGATTTCGTCAACTAACTACCCGAGGCGCAATTCTTTTATTAGTGCTAACGGTGGAACGAAAATAAATAAGAAACTTTTACACATTTCCTTCAAGGGTGTATAGAGAATTTGGGATTCATGAGGGTGAAAGCAATGAATTTTTATATTTATATAGATTTAAAGCAATTTTTGTGTTAGATGAAGTATCGGAGGAAGATTGACAATATTTGAATAAAATAATATGTTTTATAATTCATTTCTCTTCCATAAAATGATATAAATTCATGAAGATATAAAATACATCAACTTAGAAATGAGGACTATAGCGATACACTGTTTCTTTTGATACTTTACCAGCAAAATCACATAAGCTAATTCACCACCTAGCCATTCCAATAAAAAACAAAAACCTTGAAAACATTTTTCGCAGTAGTTCGTAGGCTTTCATGACCGGTGTCTAATTGATGATAATGAGTTTCTGGGTTTTTTCTGCTGTGGCTGAATCCGCGGCCGATCATACATCGTGAAGCACTGAAGATGCCATCTATTAAGCATGACGAAACGTTTGCAAATAGAATTCGATAACGGCAGAAAAACCCAGAAGCTCTTCATCATTAACATTTTTCGCCTTTACTCAATCAAAAACAGGCACAGCTATCACTTGCAGTAAAGGTAGAGTGGATACTCATTGCGTGGAAATCATGAAATATGCCATGAATTTTCATAAAATCTTTGAAATGACAAACGNTCCAAGGATGGTACTATAGAATGTCACCTCAAGGTAGGCCTAGTGGCGTCATCTCTTGGTTAGGCCGGAAACTTATCAATCCACCCTCGTATAGCGATGACTTTCGGTAAACAAATATTGACAGTAGCAGTTATTTGATATTACAGAGGAATTGCTACTGCATGACCAGCTTTGGAAACAATTGTAGTTACCATCTTTTATTGGTTTTCTTGACCTTGCAACACCCAAACAGGCTACTAGCGTTTATTTTGAGTAAATCCACTATTCATCACCACTCACGATGCTATACACGTTTTTAGAGTTTTGTTCCAATATCAAAATTACTTCAAATAGTTTAACTCATAAATCCTCCCGGGGGTAGTTTAGTCTTGGTCTTCCATATTCGGTTTTGTTTTTAATTTTGGCCTTGTTCGTTTCATCTTGATTTTAGTCTTGCTAGTTTACAGACAGTCTTGCGAAAATTCAAAACCAAGACCAAAACCAGTTTTAATAAAATAATTCGAAGTGGTTTGTATTCTGTCGAAACTGCGGATCGCGATTTCGATCTTTTTGGATCTCATTCTCGTTTCAGCAAGTAGATATCCATATATTTAAATGGACCTTGTTGGAGCATACGTAATCCTAAAATGTAGCATCGTACTACAGATGGCGTTTACCACGCCATTTGTGGTATTTTCTATTAAAAGGTTCAATTAAAACATCGAATTATGTCATAGGCCTATATACATTAAATTTCCAAGACGTTTTCTTTTAATACGAATCTTTAATTAAAGGGTAGTCTTTTGACGTATTCCAATTCGAAAAAAATAACGGGGAAACAGTGAGCGGGTCTAAATGTCTTCAGAGCTGTATAGTTGGTTGCATATTCATACATAAAACGTAAATGTTCAGCTGATCTTTAATAATGAAATGCCAGTAAGTACTACGTTGAAGAGTGATTTTTTTGGAATCTCCAAAGATAAAATTTAAGATATAACTTCTCGCTCTTTTTATATAATTATCTCCTTGTACATCTTTAACGCTCATATAAAACGTTGCAGCGAATAAGTCGATTAACATATGGACAAGTCGCATACAAGTATAATACGTTCGCATATGTTCGTGTCGACGATAAGATCGTCCTCATTCGAATAAACAAGAACGATTCACTGGCTGTACGCACAATTCCTTACAAAAATTATAAGCTTCGTTTAACGGTTTTATCGCGTTAGAAAATCGACGATACGACCGATCGACACAACGTCGTATGATGTATACAATCGTGTAAGGACATGTGAAGGACAGGTGCGGCCATAAGGTAACTGTCACATCGAATGAAAAGAGAAAACTCTTTCGTTTTAAACGGACAGTAGATATAAAATAAATTAATATTTTTTAAAATAAGCTAAGTTATGATTGCGATTTAGTTCTTTTTCTAATTATCTAGGAAACTCTCTCCCTCAGGAACGTTGTTTTTTTCTAGATAGAAGATGCCCTATGTCACCTTCTGTACCCTTAACAATGGGTATACAAAATTTCATGATAAATTTTACTGGCATCATCACTCGCGTTGATGTGCTAAAGACGCTGTGCTAAAGAAGATCATCGTCGACCACATAAAACGAATTTTCTCTATCCCTTTGGAACAGTATTATTTTCTGGATAAAAGGTGTCCTATGTCATTTTCTGTACCCCTGACAATGTAACATATGTATAACATTTCATAAAAGATTTTACTCGTGGGTTCGCTCGCGTTGATGTCCCAAATTCTTGTCAAAGAACCAATCGGCATGGCCTAGAGGTTTAGACCAATTCCGGCTCCGTCTGCCTGGGTCCAAGTTTTTCTGTGGTTTCCTTGGATCACTTAGGCAAATGCTGAGGCAATAATATTCCACAGATAATCTTTCATTCTTTTCTGTCTTCATTTCGTCCGTCTCATCTTTCTCACCCGAACCACCACCCACCCATTCCCACGATTCCTGAAAGCAGGCTGAAGAGGCCCTTCCGCCCTACCTTCCGGCGTAGTCCGAAGGGACTGCCCGCCCACCAGCAATACTGGCTGGTGGGAACGAAACACCCAAGAGTTTTTTTTTCGAGTGGAGAGTTCGAGAAGTTAAAATGCGAAGATGAAGCGAAGAAGTGACAGAATGGTCATATAGTGATGAATTGATAATTAGTTAATAATAGAAGTATTAATTACACAGAAAATAGTTAGATAAGAGTAATAATAGTGCAATAGGAGCACTGATAGTTATTAAACATAAGTAAAATTACGACTCTCCTAACCAATGTGCAGCCTTGGGCTGAGTTTACCACCATATTCAAGTACTGATAAAAGATAAAAAGCCAACAGTTAAAGGATAAATAAAGCAATTTTTTAGGATAAAAGTTTATTTTGCTTTTGCATGGTAATTATATCAGCACGATGCAACTCACAAATCACTACAATCATAAACATTAGTTGTTGTGATTAATAGTTCATACGCAACTCATTGGAGATTCAAAATGTAGTATTTATAGCCATGTAACCAAAGCGTGCATTCATCAGCTGGCTTACTTGGAGTTGTGTGTGTGGTGTTTCCCTTTACGTACTTTCTGCAATTACAACCTTCTTCTTCATTTCGACGTTTACTTCGTTTTCGTTCTTGCAAAAGACTGATATTTCTAGTGACATTTTTAAGAGCACTTAATATAGAGTCAACTGAATGGTGATGTGTTGTTGATGCTTTCTTGTCATGAAAATTAATAATTGGTTGGCTGTTTGTGATAATTGGTGAAAGGTCATCTTTAAATTGATTTCTAATAGTAGGCGTTTGTACTTTAATGCTTTCCGCTTCTTGCTTTTTCTTGTTCTTCTTATATCTATTCTTGTTATCATCTAAAACTTTACTAGGCGCGCTCCAAATGTCGTAATCAGTTATATCTTCCAGGTCTTCATGGCTATCATGGCTTATCTTCTTCCAGAGTTTTGTAAACTCATCTTCATGGACGATTTCGTTCAGAAGGGATTGAAAAAGGTAGATATGCGTGTATTTCAGTTTTGATAATTTCGCAAAAACTGAAAAATAGGCACTACTATGATATACATCAAATAAGGGTATAATTATAGTTCAAATAAATTACCTTGTAAAGCTTTTCTGTATCTGGGTAGCTTCATGATCTTTATGTACATGTCAAAAATTCTTCTTAGATCGAGATGAAGTTCATCTTTTGATGCGGTATTTAACCAATGTATACAATAAAGTGCTCTTACGTAGCAATTTATTTCTAGTACTACATACCTTGCCAACCTATAATAATAAAAGATAATGGGTATATGTATACTCTTAATTATTACATTGTGATATCAATTTTTAGCAATTGTTGAACGTACCTATTGTCTACAGAATCGGAGCGTCTAACAACTGCATATTTTTCTAAAGCGGAGGTCGTTAAAAAACCAATATAATCCTGTTGGAAAAAGAAATTATATCTATTTTAATACATTGATATACTATTGCAGTGAATCAATTGAAATTAAATTCCATTTTTTCTTATTCTACAGTTGATGGTAGCATAGTTTCCTTTGCTCATCATCATCACAAGGTCGTCAGTCCTAAGACTGGTTAGACACGTAGCTCCATTTTTTCCTATCCTGAGCTAATCTTCGCATTTCCCTAATGCTAGAGCAACTCATATCCTTAACTGTTTGCGAACAATAATCCAATCTAGGTCTATCTGTACCCCTCCTAACATCCGTTCTGCCTCTAATACGTCTCTGACTAGACGTTCATGTCTGAGAAGATGTCCTACTAACCTAGCTCGCCTATTTCTTACTGACTTCCATAGAGTCCTCTGTTCTCTTACTCTTTCTAATACCCATTCATTTATAATTTTCTCTATCCGTGGTATCCTCATCATTCGCCTGTAACACCACATTTCGAACGCTTCTAACCTTTTCTTTTCCGTCGCGACTACTGTTCATATTTCGCACCCGTATAGCGCCGTACTCCAAACATACACCTCTAACAACCTTTTTCGAATTTCTAAATTAAATAATTATGATCTCCTGTGGGTCCTAGATGGTGGTACTTATAAGTCCGATAGTCAAAATTCCGAAAACCTGAAATCTCGATGGGACAAAATGCCGACATGTAAAAACATTGGAAGGTAAACACTATCGTTGGGTTAGATTAGCTTACGTTCAATTTTTCAACATTCAACCCCCATCTACAAACATTTGTTCAATCCTCACAACATTCTACCCACTCCTCTCCCTCCCCTTTCATCCAAACAATTATCGCATTTTATTGCCTCATCAGCAATTTAGATTATCAGAACGTTCGTTGTAGTTAAACGGTTTAGAGTAATGAATAGGAGNCAGATTTTTTAATAGATATTAAAATAGAATGTCATACAGCAGTTAATCTGCTGCTTTAAATAAATTTTTGGTATAAGCGTTCTGGTGTAATTTTTTATATTCATACTATAACTTCCCCGTCCAAAAATAGTTTTCCGAATAGCGTCTCAAACTTGGCAAACGTTTCAGCGAAAGGCAATTTATTGATTGTACTGCAGCGAAACTCTACTTTTTATGGTAGGTAGTTGTAAATAACCGTTCCTTTTACTGCTTTTCCAATAATATTATGTCTGGAAATTCCGCGAAAATATAGTTGCAAAAATGTGAATGGTTACTTATTGCTAACGCTTATTTCGGAAGCTTTTCTGACATTAGTTGTTGATCCCAGAAATGTGTGTAGTTACGGCATTACAAAACAAGCCAAAGTAAATGTGCTAAGTGAAACTACAAAAAAGGATTCTCTTGTAGCAATAATGTGAAAGGTTCACCTACGAAAGGGACTTTTTTATCTTCTGAAATTACACGGGCAGTAGAGTCCAGAATTGCCTAAATGTCTAATTGTGAACAGTAATCTAATCTAGGACTACCTCTGCTCCTCCTAACTCCTGTTTCTGATTCTAAAATGTCTCTAATCAGTCATCCACGTTTGAAAAGGTTGAATTTACTAATTGACTTCCTTAACGCCCTTTATTCTCCTAATACTTCTTCATAGCAAGACGTATCAGTAAAGGTGTATATCCTTCTTAGTATAAAATCGTTTTATTTGCATTTTTGACATGTTATCAATAATATTAATAATAATGGGAGATATTAGGAAGCTTAAAGGAAATGAGAGCTTTGAAACGAATATTAGCAGTGTAGATAGATACCTACAGTTAATAAAATAATGAAACATCAGAGTCAAAATATATAAATTTTATTTCAAGGTTTGGAGCCAAATAGATATATAAATATACTTTTGATAATATGGTATAATATTTTTTCGTATTATTAAACAGTATTTCCTTTAATTCCGTTTGACATCAAAACATACAATTTTTCGCCATTCTGAAACACCCATCTCTCATATTATACTGATGTCATCATTATAAAGTCGTCAGTCCTAAGACTGGTTGGACACATACCTCCAGTGTTTCCTATCCTGAGCTAATCTTCCCATATTCNTTTCATGACCGGTGTCTAATTGATGATAATGAGTTTCTGGGTTTTTTCTGCTGTGGCTGAATCCGCGGCCGATCATACATCGTGAAGCACTGAAGATGCCATCTATTAAGCATGACGAAACGTTTGCAAATAGAATTCGATAACGGCAGAAAAACCCAGAAGCTCTTCATCATTAACATTTTTCGCCTTTACTCAATCAAAAACAGGCACAGCTATCACTTGCAGTAAAGGTAGAGTGGATACTCATTGCGTGGAAATCATGAAATATGCCATGAATTTTCATAAAATCTTTGAAATGACAAACGGAGAAAAGCTTACCTATATTTAAAAAAAATATCAACGTGTAATTATACAACACGCTACTAAAGTGAAACTTCTTCAAACACACAAACATACCGGGATAGGAGTTAAGGAATTAGTTTAATGGTATTATTTGTACACTAAGCTTCGCACGGGTACAATGCTGATAGTAAATATACTATAGAATGTCTTTATATACAACAATTACAGCTTTTTTGTCATTAGACAATACAAACCGGCCGGTACCGCCNAATAGATTTTCGGAAAAGAGCCACTGGAAAATTTAGACCAGAAGAGATTCCAAATGAACGAATTAGAGAAATCATAGAGGTCCCTCATGATATAATCGAAAACATAAGAAGAAAACAACTTAGATGGTATGGCCACGTACGCAGAACAGGAATCCAGTGGTTACCAGAACAAGTTTTATGATGGACACCGACCGACAGAAGTGAAAGACGAAAATCTAAGAACCAGCACAGAATTTATAATAACATCATCAAGTATTATAGTGACATATAGTAGTGGAGTTTGTACTCTAAAAGACAGGTAGGGATGAATGCTTAGAGTGATAGAAATAGATTTTCGGAAAAGAGCCACTGGAAAATTTAGACCAGAAGAGATTCCAAATGAACGAATTAGAGAAATCATAGAGGTCCCTCATGATATAATCGAAAACATAAGAAGAAAACAACTTAGATGGTATGGCCACGTACGCAGAACAGGAATCCAGTGGTTACCAGAACAAGTTTTATGATGGACACCGACCGACAGAAGTGAAAGACGAAAATCTAAGAACCAGCACAGAATTTATAATAACATCATCAAGTATTATAGTGACATATAGTAGTGGAGTTTGTACTCTAAAAGACAGGTAGGGATGAATGCTTAGAGTGATAGAAATAGATTTTCGGAAAAGAGCCACTGGAAAATTTAGACCAGAAGAGATTCCAAATGAACGAATTAGAGAAATCATAGAGGTCCCTCATGATATAATCGAAAACATAAGAAGAAAACAACTTAGATGGTATGGCCACGTACGCAGAACAGGAATCCAGTGGTTACCAGAACAAGTTTTATGATGGACACCGACCGACAGAAGTGAAAGACGAAAATCTAAGAACCAGCACAGAATTTATAATAACATCATCAAGTATTATAGTGACATATAGTAGTGGAGTTTGTACTCTAAAAGACAGGTAGGGATGAATGCTTAGAGTGATAGAAATAGATTTTCGGAAAAGAGCCACTGGAAAATTTAGACCAGAAGAGATTCCAAATGAACGAATTAGAGAAATCATAGAGGTCCCTCATGATATAATCGAAAACATAAGAAGAAAACAACTTAGATGGTATGGCCACGTACGCAGAACAGGAATCCAGTGGTTACCAGAACAAGTTTTATGATGGACACCGACCGACAGAAGTGAAAGACGAAAATCTAAGAACCAGCACAGAATTTATAATAACATCATCAAGTATTATAGTGACATATAGTAGTGGAGTTTGTACTCTAAAAGACAGGTAGGGATGAATGCTTAGAGTGATAGAAATAGATTTTCGGAAAAGAGCCACTGGAAAATTTAGACCAGAAGAGATTCCAAATGAACGAATTAGAGAAATCATAGAGGTCCCTCATGATATAATCGAAAACATAAGAAGAAAACAACTTAGATGGTATGGCCACGTACGCAGAACAGGAATCCAGTGGTTACCAGAACAAGTTTTATGATGGACACCGACCGACAGAAGTGAAAGACGAAAATCTAAGAACCAGCACAGAATTTATAATAACATCATCAAGTATTATAGTGACATATAGTAGTGGAGTTTGTACTCTAAAAGACAGGTAGGGATGAATGCTTAGAGTGATAGAAATAGATTTTTGGAAAAGAGCCACTGGAAAATTTAGACCAGAAGAGATTCCAAATGAACGAATTAGAGAAATCATAGAGGTCCCTCATGATATAATCGAAAACATAAGAAGAAAACAACAAGATGGTATGGCCACGTACGCAGAACAGGAATCCAGTGGTTACCAGAACAAGTTTTATGATGGACACCGACCGGCAGAAATGAAAAACTAAAACCCAGGAACAGCTGATTAATGAGGAGGCGAGAGAGACTACTGGAAGAAGAAAAATGGAATGGCCGGCAACAATGGAAATTGGAAATCGGAAAACGTCGTAGAATGTTATAGACCGATTTATTAATATATTGTATATACGAGGGTGGATTGATAAGTTTCCGGCCTGACCAAGAAAAACAAGGTTTTTAAAAATTTTTTTTTTTTATTTCTCAACATAATCTCCTCCAAGGCTGATACATTTCTCATAGCGGTGTTCCAGTCTAT